TGTCTGTGTGGTCCTGTGTGTAGGCGTATGTGTCGGCTCCCCGTGTGTTGGCGCAGCTCAAGATGGTCGGCCGCCACGTCCACTTGCGTGACGGCAGCTGCCTGCAGCTGTTCCAACACAATGGTGAGCTGCGGGCCATCAAGAATGAGCCCGGCTTTGAGCTAAAGGTCGACCCGCCCTTCCCTGCCGGCCACCTGTATGGGCAGCACCGGCAGCTACACGACCCACCAGTGCGTGAGGGCATCTTCTACTCGCCCGACGGCGGGTGGGTGTCGACCGGTTGTGGCCCGTACACCGATGCGTCAGTGTCGTCGTTTGCCAAGTTCATGGTCCTCGACCACTTCAAGGTGACTCATCAGACCAATCACACAGTGATACGACTCAACAGGTGACACATCAATGGCACTAAAGGCAAGAGAGAGCGCCTTTGATTGTTCGTGTGGTGTGGTTGGTTCAGTACTACGTCGGTGGCGGCCGTCTGGATGGCCTGCTGACCGACTCGCCCCACACACCAGTGGCCGGATGCACGACCACAATAGCGTGTCTCGGTGACAGGCGGTGGTTGGTGCTCACCAACAACAGCCACAACTTCGTCGCATGGATTTGGATTTCCATCATCGGATTAGGAGACGGTAAGGGAGACAGAGAGGCACCTGTGCTGGTCATACGTCGCGTGTCCTTCTTCCCCTTGTGTGCAGTGCGTGTCTTTGTCGAGACGACTGAGGCGGCTGTGTGTGTGAGTGGTCCCTTCAAGCACCGCTTCCTGGTGACCACTCAGCTGGCTCGCGTGGCGTTGGGGGCGGTGGGGTCATTCGTATTCGACGGACCAGTACAGCGGCAGCAACAGCAGCAGTAGCAAGATGATAACGACAGCGACGATGGTAAGGATACACACATGGATGGATGGATGACGTACCTTCTCTGTGTGTGGCTAGGAGGTGATGACCATGAGACTGACGGTGTGAATGACGGCGGCGGAGAGGGCGACGGAGGTACGCAGCCACACACAGCACAGCACAGAGGCCCTCACGTCGGCCTGAATGACTTTCATTTGTGTGTGTGTGTTCTGTGCACTCGACAGGTGAGGATGCCGCAGCTGAGGCGAAGAGCGGCGACTGATCGATCCATCAGTCAACACTGGTGGGTGAGCAGCGATTCACATCCTCTCTCATGTGATTGAATGTTGTCCTGGCTGGCTCGTGCATGTGTGTGTGTGTGTCACCAGGAGGGTCTCTTTTCTGGGTGCCGGCTGTCGTCATCTCTGTCGCCGATCTATGTGTGCGAGACGACCATATCTCTCACTCTGTCGACAGACAGACCAGCTGCTGATGATAGACCCAATGGCTGTGTGTAAAGAGTTGCATGCCTCTGGTGCATGCGTCACTTCACGGCTATGGCATGGCCTTTTTGCTCGTGGGTCTCTCTTCTCTATGCGTAGCCCTCTCTCCCTCACTCCCTCTCGCCCTCGGTGTGTCTGTTTGCCTGAAGAAGAGAGACCCTCCTGCTGGCCAGCTGCCGGCCTATTTTGATGTGATGGTTCGGCCGATGTGAGAATGTGTTTGGCTGCCTGGCTGACTCACTGGCCATGCTTCCCCCTCTCTCAATGACTGTGTGGTGAAATGTGTCTGTCTGTGTGTGCCGTGATCATGACGGACCTGCATCGAGTGAACTGACATTTTCCTGACCGGCGGCACGGGCGGGCTCCGCTAAGACTCAGTGTGTGGGCTCATATCGCCAGTGTGAAAAGCATAGCTGCGTACGCTCGTCGGTCGTCGGCAGACTCACACACACTTGTTATTTGACAAGCAGTACAGAGAATCGCACTTAATGTCTTGACATACACCGTCCACACACCCATCGATCACATACAAGCGACACATACAAAACACAGCCTCGGTCTCCAAACGAACAAGGCCGGCTGTCATACTACACATGTGTCATTAATTCATCGCTTGGTGGCCTCCCTGACGTGGGCCCCTCTTGTATCTGCTCAGCACCCTGCAGAAGGAAGTCGCCCTAGGCCTCTTCTTGTGTTTGTGCCGTCTCTTGCCTCTCATGTGCCGCCCTGTAAGGCTTGTATTTGCAATGATCAATGGATGAATGGATGAATGAGTGAATGAGTGAACGAGCCATTCATTGATTGAGTTATTGATTGAATAGATGACTGGCCGCCACATGCGACACTCGCGTAAGTGCACAGGAGCACAGCAGGAGAGAGAATGGACCATTCCTCCCGTCGACGAAAGCACATACATATACGTACACTACGGTATATATGTACAGGTAAGGTATGCTACCCGTATACATTGCATGCACATGAGCCCTTTCGTCCGCCTGGCCTCCCCTGCCTTCCATTCAGTCAGTCAGTCGCCAGCACGAAAAAGCCATACACACACGAGTGCTGTGCGTGATCGACAGACAGCGGACACGGGTCAATCACCCTCCATTTGTGTGCTCGTCGGGGGAGGCTCGGATGCACCGGCGCTTGTCGATGTTTGCAGCTGCATTCACGACACACACAGCACAGGTGAATCGCGCATCCATGTGTCTTTGTCGCGCGGCGTGTGCCTACGCGTTTCTTCAGCTCGTTGACTTCACAGCGAAAACTGAGAGCAGGCAGAGAGAGAGCAAGGCTCTTGTTCATGTGTGTGCTCGGTTCGCCCTGTTGCCCGCATGTGTGCCTGCCTGCCTGCCAGCCTGCCTGCCTGACTGTCTGCTGCGATCCTCACCTGGCGAGCTCAGCCTCTGCCTTGTCGAGCCGCTTGCGCAGTAGATGGATCTCCTGCTGTTGGTCGTCATCGTGCACTCTCTGCGCACATGGATGGAGGGAGGGAGCACATGTGTTGCAGAGCTGACCTATTTCAGCCATCCACTGCACACACACAGGAGAGGCATACACACAGCAAGCCAGCCAGCAGCAGCCATCGGTTGTGAACGCCTGACACCACTCACTTGCGAGAGTGTGCCGCTGTCGGCCAAGTCCTTTAATGCGTAGTTGTAGACCCTGGCTCTGTACGACACGTCCAAATC